GTTTGTGCCGGGGGACTGGATCTTTGGGATGAACCAGTCTTTAATGTATTTTGGGGTTTAAAAGCCACTGGGACGTTATGTTTAGAAAATAAACGTCTCAGTTTCTCTGATACTCCCTCAACATATGGAATGACCACTGGTCTGGGTCTGGGTTCCTTCTTTTCACCTGTTGGCTGACTGGAGTCCTGTTTGGGTTTCTTCTCTGCTTTCAGGAAGGCCCAGTTAGGATATCCACATTGCTCTAGAGCCTGTTTTGTGTGGGATTCATCCTTCTGCCTGGCTCCTGAGTTTCTCCCTGGATTACTGAGCATGCATCAGGAGATATGATGGATTATGTTATCCGATGTGTCAGTATCTCACTGGGTTGGACTGCTGGAAACTATTTGGTGAACGATATTCTCAAGGGAGCCTCCGACGTGTCCCAAAACGTTTGCAGGACGTCTCTGAGCCTCGTGTTCTTGGCAGAGGTTTGAATCTTGAACACGTTTACTCAATTTGAGACAATTTTTCTCTTCTTAGGCGTTTCAAATGTCTCTTGAAACCTTCTCAATTTAGTTTCTGTGTTCTCTGGAGCTGTTTTCTGACACCTCTGCATGGAAGGACACACCCAAGGCTACAGACCCAAATTTCCAGACCTTACAACAAAACAAATGTTACGTAATAATAATGAAAAAAAACCTGGTTCAAATCAGCCGATTTTAAAATGTCCTGTAGTAGATTAAATCATGAAGGTGTAGACGGCTGCGAACGTGAGCCAAGGCTGGTGGATGTGGTTAAAGTGTGACAACAAAATAATGTGCACATCTTACAATATAGTTTTACAGGCTGTGCACACAAAAATAGGTCATGCCTTTTAATAAAATGCCCACAAAAACTAACCACCTGGCCCAATTATCACTTTGTTGCAAACAATCAGAATTCAGTGAGATTGCAGCCGAACATGAACCTGGATGAACTACAACAACAATTAATTTCACTTTGGGATTAATAAAGTATTTTTTTTATTGAATTGAGTCTTTTCTCGCTAATGAGTCACCACCACGTCTCCAACAGTCACAGCCCAATGAGATCCTACTTTCATCAGCGCCAGTGAAGTTTCTAATGGAACAAAAGAGGCAAAACTGCAACTAAATTTGATTTAACTTACCCTAAGTTTGGATTTATTTGTTGTTGGGGAGAGGGAGAGTCACAACCACAGTGCATGTGATGTTCTTAGCAACCAGTACGTGGAACCATCACATCTTAAGCCACACCCTTCAACCAGTACGTGGAACCATCACATCTTAAACCACAC